GCCATACTAACATAAGATGTTTATAATAGCATAAACTAGATAGGGAATATATTGGAACTCTCAATACTGTCTTCTTAATTTTCTATAAATCTGTTCTAAAAAATAAAGTCTACTTTAAAAAATCTAAGTCAAGGGTCAAGAGCACAGATTTGGAAGCCAGGCTGCCTAGAGTCCAATCTCAGCTCCTCCTCACTAGTCGTACAACTGTGGGGACCAGTCACTCAACCGTTCTGTGCCTCCATTTCCTCATGGTGCAATGGGAATAACCATACTAACTACCTCCAACTGTCATGGGTACTAAATGAGTTAAAACTTGTGAAATGAATTAAAACTTTACCTGGCACCAAATAATACACGTGTTTATTTCATACATAAATGAAACTAAAGGAAACTAATTATTTCAAATATTCTGTAAGACAGGACGAAGTAAACACTAGCTGAGTTTCTCTCTCTCTCTTCTTTTTTTTAAAAAAGGAGCATGCTTAGGGTTCAGAGTGGTCTCCACTGTGCTACAACTCCCCCAGCTCTGCCCTCTTCCCTCTAGCTTAGCCTGAGTTCCTCTCTTCCTGAGCTTTCTACACTTCCTTCTTAAGGATTCCCATTCTCTGCTAGGGTCAGAGGAGACGACCCAGCCTGGAATCTTCTTGCCAGAGACCATCTTAGCACAAGTAGATCTACCGCCTTCTCCCCCAGAGCATCTTTCCAAATCTAGGATCCAGCAGTAACCCCAGATACCTCCAATCCCACCATCTTCCTCCAGATGCCTAATCCCAGGCCCCAGACCATTCATCTGCCTCTCCTGCCTGCACTGACACCCTTTCAGCTGGAAGCACCTTGGTAAGGAAGTGAACATCACCACCCAACAGGATGCTTAGGAAATGCACATGTTCCTCATTGCTCAGGAAGAGGTCTCCCTAAAGAACAATCCTGAAACTTGTCCAAGTGACCGAAAGTTTGACGTGGGTCATCTTCCTGTGAACATCTGGAAAAGAGCCTCCAGGCAGAATCTGACTAAGGCATCTGCAGTTTCCTTCAGGCAAGACCTTGAATTCCTGGAGCATTTCCTTTTGCTACTTCCACCACACCCCCTTTCTGGGGCTGCTGGGTAAAATAAAAGCCAAACACTGCAACAATGTGTCAGCAACTAAAAACTTAAAGCTACAGGATAAAGATGAGTCTACCAACTCTATTTCTCCTGGCTGCCCCCCTTCTTCTAAAAAAGCATATCGTCGAAAATCCTAAAACACTAGTGAAGGAGGTCATTCTTATGACCCTCATTTTACAGGTGGGGAAATCAAGTCCTTCTTGGTTTTGAGACAAAAAAAGAAGAGATTTCAGGTGTGTTTCTTGTTTGGAGAACGGGGTTGCAGTTCCTCATCCACGCTCTATCTGGGGTTATTGTGTCTGCTTTGTTTTTCTTTACTTTTCATCATGCCAGTAGTTGGCAATGACCTACATAGACCACACGCTTAATAATAATTCAAGCTTTATTAGCACCCAACCTTCAAGGGCCTCTGGGGATTTGGCGAAGAGCAATATTTATGAAATCATCTCCTTGTTGCAAACCAACATTCATGCCTCTGGGGTGGCCTTTGAAGAGAAGAAACTGCAGGCTGAGAATATTTGACATGGCAGTCACATGTCTGGCTTTTTTCATTTTTTATATGGAAATGTCTAAGACTACAGCACATTTGCACAGGGTTGATATTTAAGATTTATATCAACTACTATGGCTCAGGCATCAACCAATTAAAAATAATGTTGGCCAGGGTACCCAATCAAAGCCCCACTGGCATCCTCCCACTCCCCAGTTGGCCAGGCATTGCCTCTTAAGTTGCAGGATTAAGGGAAGGTCCAGAGAGTTCTGGGGAAGGGTCTAGGTGGTCATGGTGGTGGGCAGATGGCTATACCAAGTGATATGGAAATAATTCAGTATTTACCTAGCTATCAACCTCAAATTCATACATATTCTTAATTCCTACAAAGTACAGATCCGCAGCACATGGCTGAACACAGACTTGTCCCTAGGTGTACATGATGGTTAACTGTGGCCGGTGTGTTTGGATTCAGGAGACTTGAAGATGTCGTTTGGCTGCATCTCACCTCCCTTCTGGGCTGCTGGAACTGGAAATGAAACTGCAGGTGGGTCAGGTGAGTAGATAACTGAAATGGACAGACAGAGGAAGAACAAGACAGTAGGTGCAAGTCATGAATGACAGCCCGAAATGGTCCAAGCTGGGGAAGCCCAAGAGGGTCCCCAAGCCCAAAAGATGAGTAAGGAATCAGACCTAAGAGATAGGGGAAAAAAGAGGGCAGTTGCTGGCGAGATCTTAAGACAAGAGAGTTGAGAAGACCAGAGCACAGTGAAACAAGTGGGTCTAAAGCCACTGCTTCAAAAGCTCTACCATAGCATTGCCATGGGAAGTTTGGTTATGATTGAAAGTTTAGAGTAGGGCTGGAGCTCCTCAATGCTTATTCAGCTCTTAGAACTTCCTTGTGAAAAGATTTCCCCAAGTGTTTGCAGTTCACACAGCAAGTTCTTTCTAGAAAAAGTGTCCCAGATGCCAACACTGATGCTTCAGAAGGACCTTCATCATTTGAAGGCCTGCTCCTCACTGGGAACAAGCATGATTTGGGTGAGTAGCATTTTTGATCACAGAGTCCCAATTCTCTAGGACTTTGGCTATCTCAGGGCAGAGTAGCTTATACATTTTTTGCCTATGCAGTAATTTTAACAGTCATTTTCAAAGCAGGCTTCAAAGCACTGATGGGATACAAGAATTCTCCTGATGAGTGCAAACTGCTTTCCAAATAGGTAAATCCACTCTGCTCTTCTGAGGGAATGCCACACAGTCCTCCAACTGTCGTTTTTATGGAGAGTTCGTTGCTTCTTACTAGTAATCTATTAAGAGAATCAGTAAGGATGAGTGAATTTGGAATTTGTGAACCAAAAGTAGTATGTGACCTGAATACTTTAATTCAGGCTTCTACTCCAAATTCTGTCATCCATGCAGCAAGCGGCAACCGACAAAATTTCTGCTGTGCATCCATACCTGCAGATGGCTAGAAGTCCCACACTTGGAAGGAAGCAGTTCTTTCATTCATCAGTGGCTGCTGCTGTGCTATCCACGTAGTTGATTGCAGATAATCTGCTCTCCCTTGCAATATCTAGGTTTCTATATTTACCACGTCAGTATTAGGGTCTTGTAATTTTCTAATTGGATTGAAATATATGCATCCATTTTGGTTCAAATAGGAATCACCAATATCCTTCGTGCAAAAGCAAATGTTATATAATGCCACTCCCTCCAAAAAGAGCCCTGCTCACACAGCAACATTTTGTTATTATACACAGGTCTCATGGTTTTTCCATGAGAATGTGTAAAAGGGTAGAATAGATGAAGAGTGAGTCTTTTCCTCCACTTAAGTGGGTGAAAGTAAAAAATATTTGAGGGGTTATTTTTCTTCTCAAGGAAAAATTTTTAGATGTAATTTTATTTTATTTTTGAATAACTTACATATTCTTATGATTCAAAAATCAAAATAATATCAAAAGGAATTGTTGAGAAATTTTTCTCCACTGCTACCCTAGTCTATTAGGATCCTCCCGTCCATCCCCTGGAAGTCACCACTTTATTAGTTTCCTGTATATCCTTCCAGTGTTTCTTTATGCAAACAGAGATGTATTTCACTAATACATAAAGCTCCCCTGCCCCCACATTAGCAGATAAAGCTGAAAAAGGTAGACAAAAGCAGAAGTGACCTCAGAAGACTGAAACTGCATCTGAAGTCTATCTCCCTATGACCCTCAGCAGCACAGGTATTTTTTTTCTACACCTGATCCTTGGGAAAATGATGGAATAAAAAGAGTCTTTTTACATCACCCTAGCTCTGCTTTTATACTCTTCTGCCCCCTCCCATGTCAACATCCCACAAAGATCTCCGATAAAGTTTCGCTTTTTGTTCTACACTCCACCCCTATCTGCAACAAACACATCTGTTAAGGATCCCATCACATCAGTGCCTGTGAGGATGGGCAAATGGATTCTAATGTATACGGTATTCAAGGAGGAGGTGGCTGGCTCATTCAAATCAAAGTGTCTTCCCACTGTAAATAGTCCTTCAAAATGGATCTCATGAGGAAACTTTATACCAGAGGATATCTCAAATGTGCAATGTTCAACATATGTATGGAGTGCTTATGTGCCAGGTGCTATGGCCAAGTGCCAGGTAGAAGGGTGAACAGGACACAGATCCCACCCTCGCAGACCTCACAGCCTCATGAGGAGAGTTACAACACGTTGTAATAAGAGTCATGAGGAAGTAGAGAAGAAGGGCCCCTAACTAGGGTGGAGAGCTTGGAGAAGGTTTTGCAGGGGACGCCTCATTAAAACTGAGGCCAGAGAGGTCAGCAGGACTCAGCCAGGCCGTGAGTGGGGCTCTGAGGCAGATTATGCACAAAGACCTTGGGTTGAGCAAGCCATGGCTCATTCCTTTTCTCTTACAACTTTCTCTTCGACTGGCAGAGGACCTTCTGGAGATAATTCAGGTAACCAACAGAGTGACTTTAATAGAGGGATAATAGCAGCAGGAGTTGGAGCTTCTTGGAAGTGGGTAGAGATGTGGAATCCCTCACATCACAACACATGGATGTGGGCTTTGCTCTGTGCATGATCATGTTGGGGGTGGTACCAGGGAAGAGTCAGGAAATTAAGGGCCTTCTCTCCTCGGCCCCCCACGTTTATTCTAGATACCACGCATGGCTTGGAAACCTCAGGAAAGCTCATGGCAATAGGAGCTTCAGGGGGAAGGCCTTGAAATGTGAGTCAGGAAATAAATCAGATTCCCAGTAGAAAACAGACGGCATGCTCAATACAGGATGACCTGGGGAGGGAATATTTACAAAAGTGCAGGTGGGTAGGGGCACAACCAAAAGTGCAGTTGCTATGGCCTTACCATCCTTACACCTAAAGGAGGGAGGTAAGGGACAGTAACTAGAGCACAGCAGGAGACAGTGTCTCATTAGGCTCCTGAGTCTTGAGAGAAGCAGCGATCTGCAACAAGGTGACCTTGCAGGGAGGGGGGCAGGGGAAAAATTTCACTGGCTTTGCTCTCATTCCTTCTGCCAGGCCTTCCAAGTAGCCAAACACAGCCATACAAGAGGGTACAGGGCCTGCTGATGAGGCTGCAGGCACACAGCAGCACAGGGCATGGATCTGGAGGGCACAGGGGGCAAGGATACAGAAGGCAGCCCACCAAGTCCTCACCACAACTCGGGGTGGTGGGAGACCAGACAAGTTTTCTTTTCTTCTTTATGCTTTTCTCCATTTTTCTAATCTTCTCAATCTTCTGATCTTCTCGCACGTATCACTCCTAGGATTGCAGAAAATATTGTTTGTAAATTAAAAAGGAAAACAAACAACAATAATAACATCAACAAGAAATATGCACCAAGGAGGTACCCCAGGGCAGTACAAAAGCCTTCATTAACAAGAGTTGGGAAAAGGAGGCTTTAAGAAATTTTTGTTCCACTCTGAATAACCAGCCAACCTTTTTCCACAGGACACTGACTACAACGAAGGCAAATGCAACTGGCAGTCTCAACTAAGTTCTTGGGAAGAAGAATCATTGGGGCATAAAGAAAGTGGTGCCCAAGCCCCTCTTGTTTCTCTGAAGTGAATCTTATGGGGAAAGAGGTAATCAGAGGGAAAGACACTCAGCATTCCAGGGGCATCTGTTCAAGTCCCAGCTCAGCCACTTCATCAAGGTAAAACCTCAAGCACATCATTTGCAGACTCTTGAAATCACTGTCAGGGTCCATGGTCTCGTAAACAATTAGACACTCTACAAGTCTTCCTTGTGAGTGTCAGAAGGGAGTGCACAAAAGATCAAAATCACCACAAAAGGCACAGAAAAATACCTCAATAGGCCCCCTCTGTTGCAGCCTGTAGCACCTAGAAGGCCTGTAGCACAGCTACTCCTTGAAGGGAAAGAAAACAGTCTTGGGTTAAACTGAGCAAAACATACATGGAGGGCCAGAGGCAGGTGTGATCAATTTCTCTATTTCCCATTTGATGACCTCTCTCTCTCTAGCATTCTCCTTTTTTTCTGCCTTTTCCATGCCTCAGCCCCCTGAGTTCCCTCTGCCTGGGACATGGTCAGGAATCTCTCATGGGGGTCTCTCCTTACTTAGAGGGTGGAGGTAAACTCTCAGGTTTAGGAATTCCAGTGATTTTGAAGGTGAGTTTACTTAGTGAGTTATAGCTGGGTCTAGGGAGGCTAGAATTCCAGGGCTAGAAGTGACCTTCACACATTCTAGCATCCATTTATCCCACACATGTTTGGGCATCCACTATGTTCTAGGCATTGTGCTAAGAACAAGGGACACAAAAGGAAGTAAAAGCAGACATCATAGAGAACATTGAGTCTGGCAGGAGACAGGCATTAACCAAATAATCACATAATAGGGGACCAGTTGAATAAATTTTAGTAGATCTACATATTGAAATAAGGTTAAGTAGAAACTCTGTAATTTGAAATTTGAATTGGAAATAGCGTATGAAATTATATTATTTCCCTCTAAAAAATATTTATTTGTAGTGTCATCCACTGAAAAAGTCTGATGATGACAAGCACCCCTAGTGCCCAGATTGTGGTCTCTAAATACCATTTCTCAATATGAGAGGCAGAGTTCCTTGGAGAGGTGACTGCTTCCAAGGGTGAGTAGGAAATGTACAAGATGAGCCTGGGACATCTTGTGCCAGAAAAAAAAAATATATGAAGACTATGTAAGAGATACCCAGAGGTCAACCTGAAGAGTTTCCACTCCTGAAGACTGGAAATTCTTAGCAACAACAACAACAACAAAAAAAAAAAAAGTAGATTAAAACAGCAATATAAAAATCCATGAGTTCAAAATAATACTTTAAAAAAAGAAAAGAAAGGAAAAGATCATGGTTCTCCACTAGAGGTTGCTAGGGCTTCAGCTCATTACTTCAAAAATTGGTAAACAGACAGAAAGAAAAACATTTATTTTAACTTTCTAGTCTGTATAACTGTATTTCTGGATAATTGAATTGTTTCTGGGAAAATTTCTTTACAGAAAAATTACCACTATTAAATGCAGAAGGAATGATATAATTCTATTTGTGACTTTAGTGGAATAATTAATTTAGGAAACAATTATTAGTGGATGCTGAAAACCTTAGAGGAAATGTTGATGGGGAATTTCATAACAAAGCAGTGAGGCTGACACCATCTAAACCCACTCATCTATCACTATTAGTGAGATAACCATGCCTTATGTGTCTACTGAGGTGAGGCAACATGAAATACACAACACCAACTATGACATATTCTTGCCTTTGAAAAATTAATCCTGAATTTTAAAAAGCCTCTAGATCTCTTACCAGTTTACAGGAAATATAGGGGACTGAAGAACAAATTAAGCAACACTGCAAATAAGCAATCAGCCCAATCTAGATTGTGAGACATTCAACAAGATAAATGACGAAGTTTCTTCAGCAAATCAATAACATGGAAAAGAAACAAAAAGGAATGAGAAATGTTTTTGTTTTTAATAAAAATTGTGTATGTTTAAGGTGTGCAATGTGATGTTTTGATATATACATATAGTAAAATGATTACTACAGTCAAGCTAATTAACATATCCATCACTCTGCATAGTTGTGTGTGGGGGGGGTGTGTGTGTGTGTGTGTGTAGAACACTTAAAGTTCTACTCTCTTAACAAATGTCAATATACAATACAGTATTATTAACTGCAGCTACCCTGCTGCACATTAGGTCTCCAGAACTTATTCCTCCTTTCATCTCTCCATTTCCTTTGCTGCACTCCCTATTCGTGGTGTTAAAAGGTTAACTTAGGCACATTAAAATTTTAAAGAGTTTATTTGAACAGACAGCGCTTCATTAATCAGGCAACTCCAGACCATGAGTGGTTTGGGGACTCCCCTGCAGAGGCACAAAAGGAAGACTTTTATAGGATAAGCACGAAAGTAAGGCAAAGAAAATATTTGATTGGTTAAAGTGGAGCAGTAACCTTATTTCAGTGGAAAATCCCTAATTAGAGATTTGTTGGTAGTTTCTGTTTGGTTAAGATTAGGTAAGACCCAAGGCCTTACCTCCTTAGCCTAATGACCTCCCAACTAACTATTTTAACTATTTTAACACTGGTAACCACCATTCTTCTTTGGTTCTATGAATTTGACTTTTTTAGATTCCACAATAAAATGAGATCATGCAATATTTTTGTGTGTATCTGGCTTATTTCACTTAACATACCATCCTCTGGGTTTATCATGTTGGGACAAATGGCAGGATTTTCTTCTTTTACGGCTGAATAGTATTCCATTGTGTATGTTTACTACATTTTCTTTATGCATTCATCTGTTAACAAACACTTAAGTTGATCCCATATCTTGGCTATTATGAATAATACTTTCATGAACATGGAAGTGTAGATACGTCTTCAACATGCTAAATTTATTTCCTTTGGATATATACACAGAAGTGAGATTGCTGAATCATATGGTAGTTCCATTTTTAATTTTTTGAGAACATGCCCTACTGTTTCTTCATAACGGCTGTTTCAATTTCTATTCCCACTAACAGTATCCAAGGGTCCCCTTTTCTCTACATCTTCACCAGCACTTTTTATCTTTTGTCTTTTTGATAACAAAAGACAAACATCCTAAACGGTGTGAGATGATCTCTCACTGTGGTTTTAATTTGCATTTCCCTGATGATTTGTGATGTTGGGCAACTTTTCATGTACCTGCTGACCACTTGTATGTCCTTTTTGGGAAAATGTCTATTCAGTTCCTTTGCCCATTTTTTAATCAGATTATTTGTTTTTGTTTGCTATAGAGTTGTATGAGTCCCTTATATATTTTGGATATTAATCCCTGATCAGATGTACATTTTGCAAATATTTTCTCTGAATTCCATAGGTTGTCTTTTCATTTGTTGATTGTTTCCTTTGCTGTGCAGAAGCTTTTCAGTTTGATGTAGTCAGGATTGGGAACTATTAGAGAATAAAAGAGACTTAAACATATGACAATTGAATGAAATGAATGAGCCTTGTTTGGATTCTGATTTAAAAAAAAAAACAAAACCCTAAAGAGATATCTTTGAAAGAACTAATCTAATATTAAGGAATAATTATTAACTTTGTGAGGATGGATAATGGCACGGTGGTTACATTTCTAAAAAGTCCTTATAAACCTTAGATACACGTAAGGGATGGAATGGCAGAATGTCTGGGATTCAAGGGCAGGGAGTAATGGGAGGCAGTATTATCACTGTCGAGTGGGGTGATGAGTGTCTGAGGTTTCATTATACTGTTCTGTCTATATCATGTACATCTGAAAGTTTTCATAATAAAACATTTCAAAATATCAACAAACATATGACTATAAATTGTGTGAGGTGCTGAATCAGACACCTCTGGTGTGACTTCAGCATCTGCCAGGCTTACTTATGCTTGCACCCATAGCTGGGGTGGACAGTTCCATGAAGGCTTTGATCATCCTTATTCCAGAGTGAGTCACATGTCTCTGATTTGTGGCATTGGATGCTAACTAGGGACTGCCCAGGATTTTGCCATCACCACATATGCTTCTACACAGCAAAGGAAACAATCAACACAATGAAAAGGCAAGCTATGGATCCAGAGAAAATATTTGCAAACCATATATACAGTATGTCTGATAAGGGGTTAATACCCAAAATATATAAGGAACTCACGCAACTCAATAACAACAAAACACAAATAATCTGATTTTAAAATGTGCAAAAGACCTGAACAGACATTTTCCCAGAAAGGACAGACAAATGGTCAGCAGGTATATGAAAAGGTGCACTGCCATGAGGAGCTCACAGTGTAGGGAAGTTAATGCCCAGTGGGATAGTAAGCACAAGTGTCTTGTTTTAAAGGTGTATAAACTAAGACTCCTTCATCAACTGGTAGATGAAAGAGCTGGACTAGGGCTTCTGTCTTGATGCCTTCCACAGAACTCAACAGAGGGCTTTGCTCAAACTGGGCCCTCAATAAGGATTTTTGCATGATTAAGTAAATGCGTGAGCAAAAGCATAGAGACCATAAAAACACAACACAATTAACAACAGAGAGTTCTAAAAAAAAAAAAAATGAATAGACATTTCTCAAAAGAAGATATACAAACAGCCAACAAACATAAAAAAATGTTTAACATCACTAATCATCAGGGAAATGTAAATTTAAACCACAAAGAGATACCACCTCACTCCTACAGGAATGGCTATAATTAAAAAGTCAAAAAACAATAGATATTGGCATGAATGTGGTAAAAAGGGAATACTTTTACACTGCTGGTAGAAATATAAATTAGTACAACTTCTATGGAAAATAGCATGGGGATTCCTTAAACAACTAAAAGTAGATCTTCCATTTGATCCAGCAATCCCACTGCTAGGTATCTACCCAAAGGAAAAGAAGTCATTATATGAACTATTCCAAACAATTGAAAAGGAGGGACTCCTCCCTAACTCATTTGATGAGGCCAGCGTGATCCTGATACCAAAACCTGGCAGAACTATAACAAAAAAAGAAAACTTCAGGCCAATATCACTGAAGAACATCAATGTAAAAATCCTCAGTAAAATACTGGCAAACTAAATCCAGCAGCACATCAGAAAGCCTATCCACTATGATCAAGTAGGCTTCATCCCTGGAATGTGAGAGTGGTTCAACACACACAAACCAATAAACGTAATTCATCACATAAGCAAAACTAAAGACAAAAACCACATGATTATCTCAATAGACACAGAAAAGGCCTTTAGTAAAATTCAACACCCTTTCATGTTAAAAACTCTCAATAAACTAGTATTGAAGGAACATACCTCAAAATAATGAGAGCCATTTATGACAAACCCACAGCCATTATCATACTGAATGGGCAAAACCTGGAAGCATTCCCCTTGAAAATTGGTGGAAGACAAGGATGCCCTCTCTCACCACTCCTATTCAACATAGTATTGGAAGTTCAGGCCAGGGCAATCAGGCAAGAGAAAGAAATAAAGCGTACTCAAATAGGAACAGAGGAAGTCAAATTGTCTTTGTTTGCAGATGACATGATCCTCTATCTAGAAAACCTCATCATCTCAGCCCCAAAGCTTTTTAAGCTGATAAGCAACTTCAGCAAAGTCTCAGGATGCAAAATCAATCTGCAAAAATAATAAGCATTCCTATACACCAACAATAGACAAGCAGCGAAATCATGAATGAACTCTCATTCGCAATTGCTGCAAACGGAATAAAATACCTAGGAATACAGTTAACAAGGGAAATGAAGGGCCTCTTCAAGGAGAAATACAAACCATTGCTCAAGAAAATCAGAGAGGACACAAACAATGGAGAAACATTTCATGCTCATGGATAGAAAGAATTAATATCATGAAAATGGCCACACTGACCAAAGTAATTTATAGATTCAATACTATTTTCATCAAACTACTATTGACATCCTTCACAAAATTAGAAAAAAATATTTAAAAATTCATACGGAACCAAAAAAGAGCCCATATAGCCAAGACAATCCTAAGCAAAAAGAACAAAGCTGGAGACATCACGCTACCTGACTTCAAACTATACTACAAGACTATAGTAACCAAAACAGCATGGTACTGGTACAAAAACAGACACCTAGACCAATGGAACAGAATAAAGAACTCAGAAATAAGAGCACACATCTACAACCATCTGATCTTTGACAAACCTGAGAAAAACAAGCAATGGGGAAAGGATTCCTTATTTAATAAAAGATGCTGGGAGAACTGGCTAGCCATATGCAGAAAATTGAAACCAAACCCCTTCCTTATACTTTACACAAAAATTAACTCAAGATGGATTAAAGACTTAAATGTATAACCCAAAACTATAAAAACCCTCAAAGAAAACCTTGGCAATACCATTCAGGATATAGTCACAGGCAAAGATTTCATGATGAAAACATCAAAAGCAATTGCAACAAAAGCAAAAGTTGACAAATGGGATCTAATTAAACTAAAGAGCTTCTGCACAGCAAAAGAAACTATCATCAGAGTGAATAGACAATCTACAGAACTAGAGAAAATTTTTGGAACCTATCTATCTGAGAAAGGTCTAATATCCAGAGTCTACAAGGAACTAAAACAAATTTACAAGGAAAAAAAAAAACCCCATTAAAAAGTGGGAAAAAAACATGAACAGACACGTCTCAAAAGACATTTATGTGACCAACAAACGTATGAAAAAAAGTTCAACATCACTGATCATTAGAGAAATGTAAATCAAAACCATAATGAGATACCACCTCACGCCAGTCAGAATGGTGATTATTAAAAAGTTATGAAACGACAGATACTGGCGAGGCTGCAGAGAGACAGGAATGCTTTCATACTGTTGGTGGGAATGTAAATTAGTTCAACCATTGTGGAAGATGGGGTGATAATTCATCAAAGACCTAGAACAAGAAATACCACTGGACCCAGCAATCTCGATACTGGGTATATACCCAGAGGAATATAAATCATTCTATTATAAAGATATATGCATGTGTATGTTCATTATAGCCCTATTCACAATAGCAGAGATATGGAATCAACCCAAATGCCCACCAGCATGATAGACGGGATAAATAAAATGTGGTACATATACACCATGGAATACTAGGCAGCCATGACAAAAAAATGAGATCATGTCTTTTGCAGGGACATGGATGGAACTAGAAGCCATTATCCTCAGCAAACTAACACAGGAACAGAAAACCAAACTCATAGGTGGAAGCTGAACAATCAGAACATATGGACACAGGGAAGGGAACAACACACACTGAGGCCTGTTGGCAGGGCAGTGGGGAAACGGAGAGCATCAGGAAAAATAGCTAATGCATGCTGGACTTAATACTTAGGTGATGGGTGGATAGCTATAGCAAATCACCATGGCACACGTTTACCTATGTAACAAACCTGCACATTCTACACATGTATCCTGCAACTTAAAATAAAATTAAAATTAAAGTTATAAAAGAAGTCATTATGTAAAAAAGACACATGCACACGCATATGTATAGCAGCACAATTCACATTGCAAAGAAATGGAACCAACCTAAGTGCCCATCAACCAATGAGCAGATAAAGAAAATGTGGTATATACACACCATGGAATACTACTGAGCTAAAAAAGGAGTGAAATAATGTCTTTTGCAACAACTTGGATGGAGCTGGAGGCTATTATTCTAAGTGAAGTAACTCAGGAATGAAAAATCAAATACCATATGTTCTCACTTATAAACGGGAGCTAAGCTAAGGGGACGCAAAGACATACAGAGTGATACAATGAACTTCGGAGATTCAGGGTTGGGAGAGGTTGCAGGGGAAGGGATAAAAGACTACATACTGGGTACAATGTACATTGTTCCAGTGACGGTGCATTAAAATCTCAGAATTCACCACCATAGAATCCATCCATGCAAACAAAACCCACTTGTTTCCCAAGAGCTACTGAAATTTTAAAAAATAAAATAAAAACAAAAATAGGTCTAATTTGTTTCCTGTGACTGATTTTAAGATCCCAAAACAGCATATGAGAAAATGTGTAACTATAAAAGAAGATAGTCCTTCATCCCATAGCAATAAACTTCCACGTAAGTGTTAAGATACAAATCTTACTGTCTCATAGCTCTGCCTTCAAGATGATGAACACAAGCGTCCAGGCACATTGATGTGCGTGCAAACAGGTGTATGTGCTCCATATTGTTGCAGATAAAAATAGCTCATGAGCTTGGAAAAACAGTTTGCTTTAATCCTCGGATTTTGGAAAAACACTTGTAGCCAAGAGCAGAATCTCATTTTTAAAGATAATTGGCATTTCCTCCTCAACCACAAATATTTCAAATATTTAAATAAGCTTGATAGCATGCAGAGGCAACTCCTCAGGCCCAAGTCCTTGTGACCACAGAAATTTGATCTTTCTCCCTTCTCTCTTTAAAAAAACTCAGAGCTTTCAGGTGCTGTGATAGAATCTGTAGGATTGTCAAGATTTAAAAAAATAAGGTACTTAGCTATCAGGCAAAAAAAAAAAAATTTTTTTAAAAGTCATCATGCCTTCTTTTTTGAAATAAAGAGCAAGATAGGAAATATTTTTTTATTAACAAACTGGCAAGAGGAAAGCTAGTTGACTGATGAAGGTTCCAACTGTGTGGGTAACCTGTTTAGCCAGGACCAGATGGTTCAGAGAGCTGGTAATGAAATAAAACGTATTCTCTATCTAGGTCAGCACTGAATCCAGCCTAGGTCACAAATTACAGACAGTTGTTTGGCCAGATGTGTGTTCAGAGGCTGACAGAAATGAAAGGATGTCCTGGAAAACGGATATGTCTGAATTTGGTTCTAATTTGGCTCCTTTTTTGGCAGCCTTCGGTTCTGAGTTCTCAGATGGCATTGTCGTGGAAGAAAAGTTTTCTGTACAGGACAGATCTATAATTGTGGTTCTGTTTCAAAAGATTAGAGCATATAATTGACTTTCCAGAACTTTAAAGAAAAATCATAGTGTCCACCATAAACTAGAATGTAGGGAATCCCCTCAGATACCGTAGACAAGAGTGTAAATTATTACAACTTTCCTATAGGTTATTTGACCACATATATCAAAAACTCCTAAAAACTTGAAAAGCATTTGCCCAGTATTCTACTTCTAGGAGTTTATTCTAAGGAAACAATCAAGAATGTGCCATAAGATCTTGTTTATAAAAATCATTTAAAAACTGGAGCAGTATATTAATCTTATCACTCAGTAAGAGGGGATTTTTTTAAAATGGTGATGGAATGGAATATCTTCAGCCATTAAGAACAATATTTCAAATATATATTTATTAACATAGAAAGATGCCAAAATTAGTTATAAAATAGCCAGACTCGACTTTAGCTTTTTTGTTTTGTTTTGTTTTGTAAAAATGAAGTCTTACTCTGTTGCCCAGGCTGGAGCGCAGTAGATCAATCTCGGCTCACTGCAACCTCCACCTGCTGGGTTCAAGCAATTCTCCTGTCTCAGCCTCCTGACTAGCTGGCACTACAGGCACAGGCCACCACGCTCGGCTAATTTCTTTTGTATTTTAATAGAGATGGGGTTTCACCATGTTGCCCAGGCTGGTCTCGGACTCCTGAGCTCAGGCAATCCTCCCGCCTCTGCCTCCTAAGGTGCTAGGATTATAGGCATGAGCCACCATGCCCGGTCGACTTTTCCTTTTAAAAAAAAGCTTTATATACACACATGCTTATATATATAATACGTACATATAGTGCTGAAAAATAAATTAAAAATTAGCCACAATGAACCCCGGAAAATAGAAAAACAGGCAATTTTTCTTTCCTTTTAGAAATTATCTATTTTCTAAACTTTTTATAACAAATAAGTGTTTACTTGTATGTTTTTTGTTGAAAAGATATTTAAAAACAGAAATTAAGAGCTTTTCAGAAGGATCTGACTTAGCGGTCAAAAGGCAAGACGGTGGAGGTGTAGTTCAGGAAAGAAAGGAGGTCTGTGAAAGGAAGAGGTAACCAAGATTCTATCCTCTTTCACAGGAACTGTGCTTCTGAGGAAGTCAGCTCCAAACTCCCATGGAATGACTTTGCTGTGGAATTGAGAAGAAGCCTCCTGGTCTTTCCACAGCAATACAGAGACATCTGTGTTTTCAGAACTTCCAGGCTGCACCCAGCCAGCGACCTAAGGAGAAACCTTCCCCCCTGAGTGTTGGGATGGAGGGAGCAGCTCTCAGGCAGGAACAAAATCAGGCCACCTGTCCCTTTTCAAAAATGCTCTTCTTGGCTTATTTCTCATCCTCGGTGACTTAAACATTAAATTTTCTAATCCCCCAAGAGGGTTCTTTGAAAATATGAAAAGAACCAATATAATCTGTCAAGAGAGAATAGAGCCAGTAAAAGGAGACTTCTTCTTAGCTTTGTTGGTTTCAGGTATTATCTCCTGACAACAGATGTCTCAGCACTGGGGGACGAGCACGGTGGGGCAGCAGGTGTGTGGGGTTGGACGGGACCCAGCTCTGTGGTTGATGCCCCTTTTCCTCTTTGGTCCTCTGAGGCCTGCAATAAACAAATAAACATCTCTGTCTCTCTCTCTGTCTCTCTCACACACACACACACACACACACACACACACACCTTTTAGCACAAGCATGTTCTCAAAAGAGAGTGCAGCAGTCAAACCGAGAATGAGTCAGTCCACTCCAGAATGCTAACATCAGTTCAAAACCCAAGTAAGCCAGCAGACCAGCCTTGGTTTTCAAGACTCCTAGGTAAAAGGAGAGCTGAGATGACGTGCGTAGTTTCTGTGCAACAGGCTCCTGGCCTCCTCCATGGCAGAATGTGGAGTCGAGAAGACATATGTGTTTAGAAGTGACCATGCCTACAGCTGAGAGACCTACGATAGACCAAGGCAGCTGTCCCCTGGGTAGACTCTACTTACCACCTCTTGGTGCCACAGGGAAAGGGGCTTTGGGAACACACAGGGCTGATCCTGAAGAACTTGGAGGCCAATAGCACAATTTATGGAGCTGCTTTGGATTCAGTGACATAAATTCTTGGAATCTTAGTGCCTTTGTTTGTAAAGTGGAAATGAGACCATAAACCCAGGGAAGTTATAAGGATTGAGTGAAGTGATTCAGCCAGAGCATCTAGAAGTGTCTCATGTAAAAGGTTTACAGTACTTGGACTGAAAAAGACTCTCAGAGTCCTATCTTCTGACCTAACTTTCCAGTGCTGAAGATTGCAAATCCTCTATCTCAATATTAGTTTTCCCTATCTAAACTGGGTAAACAGCTCCCTGGAATACAGACCACGTTTTCTAGCCTCTAGCCTCTCTTGCAGTTAGGTGTGGCCATGAGACTATGTTCTGGCCACTGGGCTATAAATGGGAGTGCCATATACAGCTTCGGTTACTGGAAGGAGTGGGCCTCCTCACCCCTCCTCTTTCCCTGGGGTCAGAATAGAACTTGATGGCCAAAGCTTAAATAGTCAAATAGTCACATTGACCCAAGAAGTGAGAATGACAGAACAACAAGACAGAAGGACAGAAGGAGGCTGAGTTCCTGACAACTTCATAGTCGCCACATCATTCCCTACCTCTGGATTCTGTCACATGAAGAAAATAAAAACTTCTGTGTTTTTAAAGCCACTGTTGTTTTGAATTTTCACCTCATTTAAACATCACTCATACTGTATTTAAAGCTGACTTTTTTTGGTCTCACTGTCTGTGAAAACAATGACTAGCAGCTTACCATCCTAATAGCAGACTTTCATATTTGTGGAATCTCCTGCCAAATGCCTCCTCTCCTCCTACTTGCAGCATCATAGATGACAGTCTCCCCTGCTCCCCATCTTGTCTGTCTCCATCTTGTTTATAGCAAGTCCTGCCCACCCTGAAGCATTTCCCAGCTGAAACAGGGCTCTTCTGCTAGGCGCCCACCAGACTCGCCAAATATATTTGAACATTCAAAAAAGATTAATTTTATAAGAGAGGAAGTAAACGCACGCTTCAGGAAGTGGGGAAGGGAGATGGTATTCTAAGGTCTTTAAACTGCAACATTTCAGAGTTGTTTTTAATGATCCAGAAAGACTTGTTTGTAAACTTTTGGGAATTATGTTTTCCTTTAAATAGAAGATGTATTTTAGTCTCCCACTTCCTGTTTCTCTCTGTTTATTTTATGATGAGTGACCCTGATATGATGTTTGTTTTGTACTAATTTTATTTCCTAGAGATTTTTATCTCTGACAGTGTTTTGTACCCCCCAAAAAGTTATTTTATTGGCTATGATTTATTTGGGGCAGCTTATTTCCTTGCTAGAAAAAATATCTCATGTTTGGTTTAGTGGTTGCTGATGGTATGTGGCTGAATGTGTAAGTGTGTGTGTCAAAAGATACATATGTATTTATATATATAGAGAGATACATATAAAGCATTTTATACATATATATATTTTATGTGCCAAGTGGCAGTTGTCATGTTTTATACATATATAAACATAAAATATACATATAAAACATAAAATGTATCATTTTCAAGTGTAGAGTTCAGTGGTATTTACACTCATATTATACAACCATTACCACCATCCACCTCCAGAACTTTTCTATCTTCCTCAACTGATACTCCATATCCATTAATAAATAACTCTTCATTCTTCACTCCTGCAGTTCCCAGCAACCATCATTCTACTTTTTGTCTCTGTGAATTTGCGTATTCTAGGTACCTCATAAAAGTGTAATAATACGGTATTTGTCCCTTTTGGATTGGCTTATTTCACTTAGCATAATGTCCTAAAGGCTCACCTATGTTGTAGCGTGTGTCAAAATTTCCTATCTTTTTAAGGCTGAATAATATTCCATTGTATGTGTATACCACATTTTATTTATCTCTTCATCCATTGACAGTCAATTGAGTTGCTTTCTACCTTTTGGCTATTGTGAATAATGCTGTTATGGATGTACAAGTATCTCTTTGAGACCCTGCTTTAAATTCTTTTGGGTATATGCCTAGAAATGGAATTGCTGAAGCACACGACAACCTCTACATTTAATTTTTTGAGGATACCTCATATTGTTAAGGATTACTTCAGAGTTACAGCATGAAGGTACAGTTATTCCAGTAGTGAGTAAAACAATGGTTCCAAAACCAAATTATGCGACAGAATTACTTGGAAACTCTTAAATACAAACCCCGAGTGCCCCACTCCCCAAGACTATCCAATGAGACTATCTGTGGAGGAGCTTGGCATTTGGCACTTTAACAAATTTTCCAAGCCACTCTTCTATGGAGTATCCTTTGGGACCATTGAGGAGAAGAAAGAGGGTTCTAGCTGCCTGTATGTCTACTATACACACTGACACAAAGACAAGCTTTGTGTAGACACTGGGTCACACTCTGTCAAGATTGCTATGCATTGTAG